TCTACTGTTTAATAATGTAAGACAAACCACATAGGCAATAACTTCTAAGTTCGTAAATTTGTTCTTCGACGAATATTTTGAATTCAATATCTTACAGCTGCGTTCCGTGCCTGCAGCTCACGACAGTTTAATAAGAATCGGAGTTTGATTTTTTCGAAGAGCATGGCAAGCTTCTTTTTGAGCAGAAGACTGAAGAAGGAGGAGAAACGAGAAGTCTTTCTAGCATCATTCGTTCGCTTCACGGAGTATTTATTAATACCGCTACTTTTCAAGAGTTATCTAAAACGAGGGCAAAGAATTTCGAACTCATATCACGGAAAAAGGAAACCAAAAGAAAACCGCAATATATCCCACGTACGAAGCCCCTTCCTTATGCATAAGACACGTAGCCGAGCGATATTTTCTCTTCTTCCCAACCCTGCCGACGGATGGGGGTTAGTAAAGTCGGATTCAAACAAATGGGCCATCCCTCTTAAAATGCATGCCCCCAATATATCTCTGCCGTACACTGAGGACGTAATCTAGTTTAGTGTTGCTGTCAAAAGAATGCGAGCAAGGTCTCGCCCCTTTGCTGATTCATAATTTCTCATTAACTGAATGATATTCAATCATACAGGAAGTAATATCCAAAACATAACATATAATATTCCTATCTTTGGTGTTTTCAAGCCAAAAGGTGTCTACTATTATAAATAAGAGGTTTGGAATATATAGACAAGACGTATCTGTACAATTATCAACTTGTTTTGCGTCGCCCATCAAATAAATATGTAAAAATGTACTTGTGAAAATTCATATTGTGAACTATTTTCTGCAACATAGTTAAAATTTTCAACGAAGTTTAGGTAAACCCAAAAAGTTCTGTGGGAAACAGACTTTCCATTATAACATACTACAACGTACTAAACCTAATAGACAAGTGGTGGAATTTGTTAGTGGTCGAATTGGAATAGTGTTACTCTATTCAATTTTATTTTAATTAACACAATATTATTATACTTCTCCAGAGTCGCATAGATGAACATTTTTTCAAAAAGTAATTATTTTAATAATATAATTTACTAATTCTTATAATAATAATCTTTCTATACATTACTCAATAGTTAACATTTCAGTTAAAATTTTGTCATACGCATATATACTATGAATATTCTTAAAAGACATTAAAATCACAGTAGTAACTTTGAATTTGAGACTAGACCAGAACATTTGAATTTATTTTTTAACAAAGAAACTACACGATTTAATCGCAATTACTGCATCAGGAGGACACCAACGATTTCGTATGATTTCATACACACCAACGCGCGCTGAAAGTTAATTATATTCGCCAATCATGTTTAGGAAAAAATGAACTGTATCTTTTGAATATCAAGCTTTTGAAATGACACTTCATTTAATAAATTCAATAATCAATTTTAGCGTTATTACGTTCTTCGGTGAATAAATGCAATCATTCATAATAATGAAACTTAACATTCTACGTTTCCCAAATTCATTATTATGTTCGAAATGTAATGAATCATTAATTTATGTTTGCTAAAACACCAAAAATAAATACGATTTTGATTGATCCTGCACCAAAATGTTTTTTTTAGAAATTGTTAATTGTTCGTAATAAACTTGCAATTGTTTTAACCAGAATATAAACTAGTATTTAAACACTATCATTGTTTTGATTAATTTCATTCAAGTAATTTAAAATTAAATCTTCGTTATGAAAATTAAACACCATTAACTGGAAATATTTTCTTCGAATTTGGAAGTAATGGACATTTGAAACACGACAATTGATTTACGATATAGTTGTGCCATTACATTTTAAATTAGTCACAAATTACAACAATACGGTCTTTAAATATTCATGATTAACTTATTTTTTATTAATAAAATAGGTTACCACACGCATTATTATATTCTTCAAAATTTATTACTTTTGAAAATATTGCAAGTTGAAAGACGTTAACTTATATCGTTAATTCGTTTAAGGAGTGGGTAACTAACTTAAAAGTATAATATTAATCGAATGAATGAGTGGAAACCAGAAACATATAAATGGTATTTTATAAATTCTGGAAAAACGTGTTTTTTAGGCTATATTTCCGTGGTTTTAATGAACAATTGAAATGCCGTGGTTTTAATGATAAAACAAAGCACCACAAAGTTCAGTTTCCATATCCTCCTTTCTAAGGCGCGTCTAATATGATGTTGCCTGTTCTGTCCGGAAAAAAATATTTACCTCCAGTGGAAAGAATTTGTTGGGTTGCTTATAGTTCTTTATTTATATCATTGTTAATTGTCTTTCAAGTATCTTTATTATATAAACCACTTTTGCGATTGCATCTTGTACTTCCTGAAATTACTCATAAGCATATCACTTTGTTGCAATATACATTTGTTGATGGTGATTAGTCTGTTGCTGTAAATCTCTTATTCAGCGACTCTACTTTGACTTCAAGGACATTTGACAAACTATCTAAATATCTGGGATTATTAATTCGTTGATTTTTCAATTCCAATAGAAAATTGAACTACTTTCATTAAAGCAATAGAACCATGTGGCATGGCACATTTAGAAGCTTAATTCTGTTGGATGCCAACTCACTTTCTTCGCTGATCACAAATTTGTGCATCTGATGGCTCCTCTAAAATGAGTTTCATTACTAAATTGCAGTTCATGCATCTCAAGAGATTTTCTTCATAAAACCGTTGTAAAAGAGATAAAATGAGAGAACTATAAAGTGATAGATGTAAATATAAACATTGTCAAGCCTGATCATCACATCATATAGCATACGTGAATCACAGTATCTATTCTTTCCCTAAGACGGGAGAGAGAGGCGGTCGGTCGAATGGGGCAGTCACCCGAGCGGTCAGTTGGAGCGTTCGGAGCGGTTGGGGCGGTTGGGGCGGATCGGGGCGCGGTCGCCGGGCGCCGTCGGCGCCAGCGACGGTCGAACGGGGAACAGAGATCGGGCAAGGTCGCTGGAGCGCGCCTCGGAGCGCATGTCCGGGCGCGGTCTGGCGCCGGTCGGGCGCGCGATCGTGTGCGCGCTCTGGGTGCAGTAACGGGGCGCAACGGCTCGAGGGGCCGTCGCGGGGCGGTCGGGGGTGGTCGGGACGGTCGGAGCGCTCGGGATGCCGAGGACTCGCGAACCGTCGCCGTGAGGCGTCGCGGCTGTCGGCGGCGTCCGTCTGGCGTTCGAAGCTCCGTTTGCCGCGAGGCGCCTCTCGTTGCTATGCGCGTTGAAGGCGGTGCCGCATTTGTTAGCGACTATCTGCGCCCTCACCTGGCAGGCGGGCCGCCGCTTCCTGATGCATGGCGGCCATTTATACGCCGGTGATACCGTCTTTGTGCCTCTCCCCGCCGCCTCCACCCCGTGACCGGCATCTGCGCATTCCAGGATTTCCCGTCCCCTCTCCACAAAGCTTCCACTCTCTCCGGCCCTAGGCATATCCACAGCAAAATCAAACCTTTGACGCCCCACTTTCCTGGAACCATTCCACTGCAATGAATTTTTCTTTCGTGTTTCCCTTTCTCTCTTCTCTTCGCTTTCATTTTTCTCCAACCTGTCTTCTCAGTCTTGCTTCTGCTTCTACAGAAGTCTGCTCTTTCTTTCCCTTTACATTTCCTGATCTCTCTCTTTTTTCCATGCGCTCTTTCCACTCCGTCTCCCCTGCTGATGGTTCCCCTTTGAAGTTCTCCTTTTATCTTTATTTTTCCCATTTCATCACCAACGAGAAACACACTATTTTCCATAATTTTATACATTACTCTTCCTCTTTTTTTCGATTTTACTGTCACATATCCTTGTCTCATCCTTTTTTTCAACAATTTTCACTGTTCTCATGTACTTTCTTTCTCGTTCTCTCATCCCCCTCTCCCGTCCAATCTACAGTACACGCAATAGTTTTCCTTCTTTCAAATTTCTCTCATCGTCGTGCCTGTTTCCCACAACCTATGAAACTTCGAATTCGCCCAACCCTTCTGCCCCCGCCACAGCTCTTCACGCCTTGTCCCTTCGCGGGAGACATACTCGCACTTCATCGCCGACGAGAGGTGCCCCCGTCTCGCTCTCTCCGCGCCATTGTCTTCGCCTTCACAATATCCTGTGCGGCTCGGCGCGGCTCGGCTCGGCTGGGCTCCCCTCCCTCGGGCCGTTATTAAGATCGCCACCAGCTACCTGCAGGTGGATTATTGTTTTGGAGCAAACATTTGTGTGGCGCGGGCCGCGTCCTTTTGTTCTTAGGAGCCGCGACAGACCGCGCCTCCTTCCGCTCGTCTGTTGTGGACGCGATATTGCGTCCGCTCCTCTCCCGCCCGGGCCGAGTCATTTGTTTCTGACGTGCGACCAGCGACCGCCTCCTCCCCCTTCCCCGCGTCTGCCCTTCTCAGCGTCCTCCTCCGCTGCTGCCACTGTCTCCGTCGGCACAAATACCACCTCTTCGGCGGCGTCGTAATTGTTCTGCATGTCTCGGTATTTTTCACTTCCCCGACAAAGTTGTTTCCTCCCTCAACTGTTTCTGGCCGACCTGTCTCAATGTGCTGGTATGCTCGTAATGCAATAGGCTGGCATGATCAACAACCATCCCGTCAACCACACAATCCTCAATCAGCACTCTGTGGCCATTGCATTCCTTCTCCTTCACTACCGCTGCTTTTCCTTCATTACATCCTCCTTGTATTTCATTCAAACGGCATAAGGGAGTAGGTACAACTGTGCATCTATAAGTTATCTATTCTCAATATTGGATAAGTTAGGATATTTTTTCTCTATTCGTTATTTTGAAATAACTCTCTCTGAAAATAAGGATTAACCTTACAACATTCTATGAGTTACTGAAGAAGTATAAGTTCCATCTTCGGCATAATTAATCATCCGTTAATTATCCTTAGCCTATTTAACATTTCACACGACGAGGTGTTGTTTTCCAATACCTATTTCAACCTAACAAGTTCCCCCCAATAGGTGATCATTTAAAACATATTTATGTTCCAGGTAATCAACATCGTGCTGTGCACTGTTTTGATACATGCATTGAAAACCGAAGAAGATTTGGACCATGAACAGTACGTGTACAAGCCCACTACCACCAGAAGTTTGTAAGCAACAGTAGCAGAACTATCTTCGTCTGCAAATTGAAAAGGCGCAGAACTTTGTAGTTTACCTTTAAAATGTTGAGTGTACGAGATGTATTAACAAACAATAAAGAAACTCTGCAGACATCAATATCTAAATAAATAAAAAGAATGGTGAAAAACATTTTATTGGCTCATTAAAACCAGTACATAAGTGTTTTGGCACAGTATCATCAATATTCTGCTAATAAGGTTACTCTTATGTACATTTTGAAATAATTTTACGATTTTTTTCCAAGGGTATATTTTATTAATCCCAGAGAATTACCGTGAATTATCACGAACAATAAAGCTAAGGAATTACTAGGAATTAACAGGATAACTAAAGCTAAAGGGTAGATACACTGATGAATTTACCTTAAACAACAAGATTTTAACAAACGACTTGTCAATATTTGCTTCTAATAAAGCAGATGTATTTATTTCGGTAACAATGAGAAGTAAAAGGTTCTAGGTATCGTCGACCGTCACATTCAACTCCTCATTTTGGTTAGTGTTCCCCACAAATTCCTTTGGAACAACGATTATAAAACAGTTCCCATATAATCTTGTTCTTGCTTGGACAGAACACTTGCAAATCATTGTTGCTTGAGCTTCTGATTCATGGGTAGTGTTATGGATAATATGACCGTACGTATTATACATAGATACTGTTATGCTTTCGACAAAGCTAACCTTTGTTTAAACGACTACTGAACAAAAATTGGCAGATAACGAATCAGAACAGTATTGATTCAAACAACCAGTCACCACACCTCAATTCCAATTGAATGTACTAACCGCGACACGACAGTCACATGGAAAGAGTGATGGGGACAGTTTTTGAAAATCCTTGCCACAAACTGGGTGAATCCTTAGCTTTAGCTTTCTAGGATTAAAGAATAACTTAAAATCTAAATTCCCTGTCAGATTTTCACCAACATCAAAATTGATCATTCTGCTACTGGTCTTTCGTCAAGTGTGGTTTGAATTATATGTAAAAAGACATTCTTTAAAAGAACCTAATTTTAAAAAACGCTAATATCACAAGGAAAATATCAATGATTAGCAACGTATAAGTCATCAAAAACAAAAGTGTAGTAGAATTTTTTTCATTATTTGAAAAGTAATTTATTTCTTTATACATCTGTTTCATGAACGTTACCAGAAAGCAGCGTTAGCAGCAAAATTATCATCTGAATTTTACTTGCAGTCAGCACCACCAAAACTGTTCGTGAAATGTTAACTGATAAAAAAATCGATGACAAAACTGCACATTCTAGAACAGAAATATCTCAATTGTGAATAAAAAATAAAAATGATGAAACAGATGACAGAAAAAAATATTTCGATACATTTCAATATTGTGTTGAAGCAACTTCAATACACATTCTCCTTTTTTAATTTATAAACAAGTTTTACTAATGAAGTAAACACAAGCTCCACAGAATATGGACCACACTCAAGGTCCATGGTCAAGAACAATGAAATTTCTTTGATTATAAGGGGTTTCTGAGATATGAGTACCTAGAACGACGTGAAATGTTCGTGTGAGTATCTCCTTCATTTAAGTCAATAATGTGTGTTGGTCTCCAAATGAGCGATAAATTAAAACATTGTACAGTCATTAAAATATTAAATAAAAGCCAATTAGATTTTATATTGCTTTTATACTTAAGGATAATATAACTTTGTAAAATGTAGAATTGTTAAATGTAATCTAAAATAAAAACTAAATACATTTTATATAAATTCCAAAACTACTGAAATTTTTAATTCTATGTGAACACCTCTTTATCCAAAATACCACGAGTACAGAATACGTTCTACACTTAATGCATTGATTTAGTTTCTATATTTATTGTTTCATTTCGCAAGGAAATATAATTTTAAGCAACTTTATTATGTACAGTATATTGTGATCTGTTCCTAAAAAGGTAAGAACTCAATTTAACTAGTTGTGCTACAATAGCACCCAATTTCTCGTATTAATTCTAACTGCTCCGCTGCTAGAAATAATGTGTTTTCAACCAGAAAAACTTTTTTCCGCACCGAGAGTACAAAAGAGTTCCACGTAGTTAATTCATCGTGAGCCATATTTTCTATGCTATCTATAGAAAAGCTATAAGTTTCAATCTCGGGCTTGTAGTTTTGGAATGTTAAAAGTTTGAAATTTTACAAATTCGGAGAGAAAATGGGACTAGACTTTTTAACGTCTTCTGTTATATAGGAGGGGGAAATTTAATGGAAAAATTTGGAGAAATTGCATAAACAAGCACAATTTTCACATAATCTAATTGTTTTCAAAAAAGTGTGCATGCATTTTTTAAATATCTGCTTTTTTACAACATAATTGGCTGAGTCAAAAATCTATATCTTTAATTTTTTTGAAATGTTCACTTTTTTAAATTTGCGAAAATTTGGAGACTGCCGAAAGTAGGAGTAGCACCTACTTTTTTAACGCCTCTTTATAATCGGAGAAGGAATTTTAAAGAAAAACTTTTTAGTTATTTTAAACAAAAAATTGTTTAAAAAATAAAAAATGCTTATATTTCAAACTACTCGATAAACGAAAACTACTCATATTTTGAAAAAAAATGAATCTGACCTTATTTTAAGATCTGTGAACAGATTTCTTTAAGAAAAACCTCTCTATCTTCAATATCGTAGTTATAGGAAGACGCCCAAAAAATGCACTTTTGCAATTTTAAAAAAATGAGGCATTTTAGCGAACATAAGAATTGCATCATTCTTTAAAGCGTCCTTTACGCTACCGGATGACCAAGTTTAATTAAAAAATGGTGTCGTCTTGAGCAAATGTTTAAAATGTTTTTATAGCTTCACGAAAAGTAACCTTAAAAATCAAAATATCGGTTTGAAACGCCCAAAGCCTCGAGTTCGTTCAGATCGATCGGGGAATATCAGTTTTGAAAAAAATCGGTCAAACGATTAAGCGCCAGCGTCGTTTTTCTGTTAATCGATTAAATCGATATGTTAATCGATAGGACCTACGAAACATGGATTCTTGCTACACCACGTGTTAGAGAAAGTATTTTACTATACATGGGAAAAGGATTTATCCACTGTTTTGTGTGCCGTTATCGGCCGAATATGGGGCGTAAAAGCATAGGTCGTCCGGGTAGTTACCGGATCTCTGGGTTTTGTTTCGCCAAATTTATGTAAGATCCTAGCTAAATAACCCGGTCATTCAAATGACTAAGAAGTATAAGAAATTTGGAACAGCTAACATTTTGCGCAAAGTATTTTAGAGGCACCAACAGCCCCTAGATCTGCTCCTTAGGAAACTGGTTGCAACGCCAAGAAGATTTTATGACCAACCGACTCATAACATCTTCAGTCGTAAATTAGAGGAGTAATTGTAATAATAATAATAATAATGTGACACTCACCAAAACCGGTGGCATCTGTTAGACTCTATACAATACTGCACCACCTACAAATTCAAACGGATCGCATGACAGCAGCAAACAATTCGGATATTGTTATCCGGGATTTGGAGAAAAAATCGTGTCTACTTGTAGATGTTGCTGTGCCTTGCGATCGTCGTAACCAAGGAGGAAGAGAAACGTCTTAAATACAAGAGTTTGTAAATCAAGATCTGCCGAAAGGGGTGCGTAAACCCAAGTGCAAGAAAATGCTTTATATAGAGCAGTCCACATTTTGCGCAAAGTATTGTACAGTCACCGACAGCCCCTAGATCTGCTCCTTAGGTAACTAGTTGCAAACTGGAGTAGATTTTATATTCAGCTGAGTCAAAACATCTGTAGTCGAGATTTAGAGGGAATAATAATAATAATAATAATAATAATAATAATAATAATAATAATAATAACAACAATGCCGATTCTACGTAGTCTATCTTCTGGAGTAAAACCTCGTCTTTAATTTATTGTATCAGACAACTCCTAACAATTTCTATTCCTACCCTGAAAGGAAAAATTTAATGCAATCATTGTATTTTTAAGTAAATGCGATTACAATATCAATATCCTTTCTTTCAAAATGTTTAATTTTACTCTCAACTGATAAGTTTAAATATTACAGATGTATTTAATTTGAATGGATTGTTTCTTTGCTTTAGTAGAGAAATGGGAAATAATATCTCTAAATTTGGAGCAATCAACTGATTTCTCCAAACGACTCTCATATACTAGGTATCCCATGACGTTTCACTACCACTGAGAAATGTGTGCCATCTTTACTTTTAAATTTCCTGGCAGTTGCTCTGGACCCTGTGGCTGCGAACTCTAGAAAGCGGATTACCTGGCCCCGATCTTGACATTCTTAATCTAAAGTCTCAGAGGACACCAACGGTAAGTACTTTCCGTCACATCGCTAATAATGCGAATTGCACGTGCTATAAACAAAATATGTATGATAATTAACATTAATATGTAACGTAAATTGTATCATGAATGAAATATTTCTATTATGCATTGCCGCCAAATAGCTCCCTTTCTCAAACGCTTTTGTTTCTTCACCCTGCACATCCTTTGCCTGCACCCATTAAGTGCTCCAATTCAGCCTTTTCAAAACATTCCAGAAACCTTCCTGGCTACGCGCGTCCCTAGAAAGGAGCAAACAACAAATTGCTCGTTCCGAGTTGTGCTTTTCCTTCCTATTGTAAAGAGAAACAGGATGCCGGTGTCCAATACCCCCTGTAGATTCCAGACACATCCTCACCGCCCTCACCGCCTTCGCCGACGCCTCGCCACCGGCGCCACCGCAACTGCTGCCGCCCCTGCCTCCTCCATCGCCCCACCGCCGACACCACTCCTACAGCCCCCACCAACCATACCACCCTCACCGCCCAAACCGCTCACAGAACCCACACCGCCCCTACTGTGCCCTTCAAGCACACCACCCTACCTCCCACACCAACCACTCCATCCCCAACGCACCCCACCGCCATGCTGCCCAAAACGCTATCTCATTGCCTCTATCGCCCCACCACCCAATCGCATCCTCCGCCCACACCGTCCTCACATCGGCCCCACTAACCACACCGTTCCCAACGCACCCATTGCTCTCCCGCCCAAACCGCCCTCACAGCCTACAACGCCCCTATAGCCCTCACAGCCTACAACGCCCCTATCGCCCTCACCAACTCCATCACCTCTAACGCACATACTGCCCACACCACCCCTACCGCCCCCACCAACCATCCCTCCTCATCGCACTCACCACTCAATTCGCCTGCACTGCCCACTCCAGGCCCTACCGCTTCCACCGCCGCCCTTTGCCTCATCGACACCGCTTTATCGCCACCCCCGGAGCCACCGTGTCGCCGGCGGCGACGGCGGCGGTGGTGGTGGTGGCGGCGGCCGTACGGGGATTTTGAAATACGAGTAGAAATCCCCCTGCACGAAATTATTATTGTGGGCGCGCAGCACAATCGCGCTTTGTGGAAAACTGTTTACGCGGGGATAAGCGGCCGCCGCCGGCCTGTTCACACGCCGTGTGTAAGGTCCCCATCAACGAAGGCGGCCGTTGCCAACAGGCGGCGGCGGCGGCGGCGGAGGCGGCGGCGGCGACCGCGGCGCGCAGCTATCCAAGCGACACACAAAGCGCGCTCGCCCATAATTCCTTCGCATTATTGCGAATTAGACAATAGAAAACGTGTGTCGAATGTGGATACCGCAGCCCGCCGCGCAGAGGTACAGTTCGCCAAGCGGATTGTGTTTGCGTGGCTACCTCAGAGAGGTCGCGTCCTCGGAGACGTTGGTGGTTTTTGGGCCGTTGTGCTACAATCTTCATAGGGGTGTAATATTCAAGCACATTTTTGCCTTTTTCAGAAAAGGTAGCACGATAGCAACTTTGTATTGTATTCGTAATGACAAAAAATATATATAACCACTGTGAAAGACTTCTATAAATCTATTGTCTTTACCTGATTTCAAATATAACATCTTCACTTATCTAACATGAAGTATGATATATTCAATTGTAGTAGCATTAAGAGAGCAGATCAGAAAAAATCCAGGTTTTGTTGTAATTCCAGTACAACTTGCAACACTGACAAAAAATACAGTGTGAAAAACTAACTTACACCAACTTCATTTCTGCACTTAATGTCGTGATAAATGGCATTTGCCGTTATCAGAATATATATTCGTTCTTTTTCAGAATACCTTTCTCCGTGAATGTACCATTTACATGTTTCTACAAAAAATTCATTTTAAGAGCAAAACTATATTTAATAAATTATATTTAATATAGCTTTAGTAACAAATGTGTCACACTAAATTATCTTCCCCGTTTTGAAAAAATTAAAAGAATTAAATCTTTGCAATATAATGTGTATGTATGTCTTACGTTCAACGGTTCTCGGGGAACCACTGCTTAAAATGAAGTTTCGATCAATTGATTTAGCTCGAATTCCCTTACACTCAGATTGTTCTTGTTATGCTTTCTAACCGAAGCTTGCACTCACCTATTGGTTTGATCCGGTATTAGCTATTTAAGTGAACACATCATTTTTACTTTCCCGCGCTTAAGAAGCAACTTCTTAAGAAGAGAATTTATGTAATGCTGCGCGAAAAAACGGCGAATTTTCAGCAGAAAACTTATTACAGGTCCCTGGTAAAAGTCGATAAATTCAGATGCTAAATTGAGAAAAAAGTCTTCTAGCATATGGTATATCGAGAATTCCTGTTTTGTAGATTCTTGATACCAAAAACTCG